CAAATCTAAACACGTCAAATTAGATTTAAAGAGACAAGGGATAAAACTAAAATTTACTGGCAGCCAATTCCACAAGATGTATTCAATAGGACAGTCTATAATCTATTGCACACATAATAACATGATACTTCCATTTCATCTTTCGCACTGTAAAATCCTCACCAACATCCAACAGAACTGTGTAATTAGCCATGGTACATGTCACAAACAAATATGACTATGTATAGCTTTTTTTCCTGCCTAATTGAAATATTTTTTTAAGCATTGCCTATACTCTAGATCAGGGATCCCCAACCCCCGGGTCGTGGACCAGTACCAGGCCGCAGCATGCCAACAACCGGTCCGCACAAACAAGCAAAGCCCCATCCGTGGGGTGCAGCAGCACACAAAACTACACACTCTCTATTCCATGGAAAAACCTTTCTCCACGGAACCGGTCCCTGGTGCCCAAAAGGTTGGGGACCTCTGCTCTAAATCAGTCAGCTTATGAATATAGAAGGCAAAGACACAAAGAAAACAATGAACAGAGTTGAATTTTATTATTATTATTTTTTGTACAGTAAAGACAGACAGAAATACAAAAGTCATCCTTCCTACTGCTTAAGAAATGACAAGTATAATTTTCATGATATACATATATATATATATAATACATTAAAAAAAAATAAGGCCAGCCTTAGAAGGCATGCCCTGCCCACATCATCTAATGAATACAAAAAAGGATCACTGTTCTAAAACCATTCCCACCTTGAAAATGCTTCACACCTTTGATGTTTTCATGTTATGTTTTCAAATAAACCAACTTTATTTCTTTTCCCATTAATTTTTATGAAATAGTAACCCTAAAACACATACACATTCTGGCCATATGATCACTTTAATAAATTCATTACTAAAAATAAAGTTATGCCCTGTAGTATATTACTAATTAGGACCTGGTATTAATTTTAAGGGGTTCCCCCTGGCCCCTTGTATTCAATATTTACACTGATTTCTCTAATTGGAACCAACTGATCTTTTTCCTGTATATTTATTTTCTAAAGCCTAGCAGTTAACAATGACTCTAATACAAGTGAGGGGTTTTTTGCTTGTAGCTTTTGTTTGAGGTTTAATTAAGAAGACCCAGTGTCTCCAAGCCTGAGCTGTGTTTTTAATTGCTCATATGTATATCATGTAGACTTCAAAAGAAGCAAAAGACATTTATAACACAGAGCACAAAGGGGAGCTTTGAAATGTCTACAACCATACAAAGTGGCATAATTAAAAACCTATGGCTGCTTCTGTGATATATATGCAAGATATATATATTTATAAAGTAAGCTATTGTATACACTCACGACATGCCAAAAGTGGTTTTGCACTGTTAAAGAAATAATCTCAACACATCTCAAATAAACTGCAAAGCAAACTAACATGGTAACCTTTTATTCGGGTTGATCTCTTGTTTTCTGTTATCATGGATTTTGAACTTCTGACAGCTTACCCATATCTTCCACTGTTGAATTCTTAATTCAAAAGTAATTATTCCTCCTCTTAAAACAAGAGGTAGCATTTGTAACCACAACATAGCACAACAACTTTCCCAGGGTGGTCCCAACATGATTCCAGAAAAGCATCACAATTAAAATATGCATGCCGTTATACTTCATGGCTGTCTTTCTCCTAGCTCCTAAAAGGAGAAAGTGCTATTTCCATCAGCATGAAATTCAATACAGATTTTGCCTACATTGTAGATGGAATCTCTTACAGAGCTGAACTTCTTTGCCAAGCTTTTAAAGTCTAGAAACCTGCATAAACCTTCCTGTTTGTTAACTATTATTATACGACTGAAATTACAAATAATCCACATAATCACCACCACACTGATTTAATTTGAAAATATCTCCTTATGTGAAGTCATTTAAAACCCAGGGAGAAATGTAAAAAGAGTCTACCGGTCATTTGTGTACTCAGAGCACTTCACAATGCAAAATGCCTTTCTTCAGTGGGCAAGGCTATTCACATCCGTCAATGTCGATCCCAAAATAGAACATGCTATACAAAGACCACATGTGACATTTAAGCCACAATAGCTATAAATACAGTTTGTGTTTCAGTAGTAAGTTCCTCCAGAAATGGACACTAGAGCCCGTTGCTCAGAGAGAGTATTCACAATCCACCCTTTTGTTAGACTGCTGGAACAATCATAACTTCTTTATATGATCTTAAAGGAGATTATATGCCAATTAAAATAAACATGTGACAGGGTATGTCAGTGGAATAATTATGTTTCAGGCCGTGGATTGATATATATTAATTTTAAGTTTTAAGATTAATGTAAGGTGTTACAAAATAAACAATTAATGGGGATATATAACCATATTCTTTTTATTCAGTAATAGAAAATGAAAATTTAGACAGTTTGAAACAGAGGGGGAAAAATAACAGGTTCCAGCAGAAAAGAATATAGGAGGGAATTAAAAGAGAAATAAGAGACATTAAAGGAGAAGAGGTAAGAGGTACTTAAAGGGGGGGAACCCCTTAATTGGACAGTGTACTGTGTTTGGTTCTTCGGAAGGATGTCAGAAAAGGATTGTATCACAAATACACCCTTCCACAAATGTCTTCCCATAAAATTTCCTAAAAATCTATTAACATTCCAAATTGCCATCTACATGGATTAGACTGGGACTACAGCAATTGGCCATGGTTTTCCCAGTTGCAATGTATGGATATGAAAGTTGGACCATAAGAAAGGCTGAGCGACAAAGAATTGAGGCCTTTGAACTATGGTGCTGGAGAAGACTCCTGCGAGTCCCTTGGACTGCAAGGCGTTCAAACCGGTCAGTCCTAGAAGAGATCAACCCCGACTGCTCTTTAGAAGGCCAGATCCTAAAGTTGAAACTCAAATACTTTGGCCACCTAATGAGAAGGAAGGACTCACTGGAGAAGACACTAATGCTGGGAAAGATTGAGGGCAACAGAAGAAGGGGACGACAGAGAATGAGGTGGCTGGATGGAGTCACTGAAGCAGTAGGCATGAGCTTAAATAGACTCCAGAAGATGGTAGAGGACAGGAAGATCTGGAGGAACGTTGTCCATGGGGTCACGATGGGTCGGACACGACTTTGCAACTAACAACAACAACAACAACAACAGCAATTTAGGTTTCCTGTGAGAAGCAGCAGGCACACCTATACTAGCCACTGGCACACATGCCCCAAATTCTGCTTCCTCTAACCCAGGGGTGTCAAACTGCCAGCCCGCAGGCCAGTTTCATCATACCACCCCATTGCCGGCAGTGCAAAAAGTCGTGATACATCACAACACATCACGTGACATGGCAAGTTTGACACCTGCACTCTAACCAGATAGCCAAGTCCACTGAATACCCCTATTATGCCAGAAGTAGCTGCTCTTTAGAAAAGAGTAGACATCCATTATTAATCCTGGTATACTGGGAAGGACCCCTTTCATCACAACAGTTATTTATCCTGAATCATTTTTTCTCAAGAATCTTACTAGGATTTAGCTGTTTAGAGATACAATCCTCCGATAATGTCTCCTGCCTAAAAGATGCATGCAAACAAAACAAATTGGTGAGATAGAAAATAATTTTTATTCATTTTTAATTTATTTTATTCATCAAATGTATCTGGTTGTCCATCTCACATTAAGTGGGCGACATTCAATAAAATCTACAATTAGAACATTCTACAAAACTAATTAAAAGTGTTACACAAGACCATGAGAAAGAAGGTATTAAATATAATTCAGTCTTTACATTGGGACACATACTGGAGAATTATCTGGTGAAACTCTAGAATCAACTTGGAAAGTTTTAAAAGGATATTAATTCATGGAAAATAAGGATGTCGATGGCTATCATAGGCTATTATAATGGCTACATATTGAGTCCAGCACTGAGATATTACTTGCACGAGAACATGAGGGAATGTTTTTGCGCTTGCAGATTGATTTTGGGCTTCCCACAGGCATTTAGCTGCCAACAATGGGAACAAAGATAGAGCTAGAATAAGCCTTTGGCTTGATCAAGAATAGGTCCTCTTATAAAATATTGCTAACAGACTAACTGCCCATGGAGACGGGAAGCTATTTTTAAAGTCTGATCTAAGAAGAAAAATGCTCACACACTACAAAATCTAATGCTAAAATGATGTCTATTTTGCAACATTTACCTTTTATTCTATATGTTGTATTGTTACAATATGTGTAATACTGGCGGAAAAGAAAATGGTTGACTTTCCTTTCTCCTCATTTTTTTTTACCCTGGCAGCCTTTCCCCATGTCTTGAAGCAGAAATGTATTAAAAGAAGAATACAAATTTCATTTATTCTCCAAACAACTTCTTCCTTCTAAAGTAAAGTAAAGAATTGGGAAATTAAAATAAAGAATTCTCATTAGCAATCAGTGCAAAGAGCCGTTCTTCTTCACAAGATCACACCTTTATTTCTTTTATTTGGGATTCTTTAATCATTTTAAAGAATTTGTTTTTAAATGATTTCTTGCTTCACAAAGTTGGTTACAATTATCAATAATTCCAAGAGGAAAGAAATGGCTATACCAAAGAAATATGAAACCCAAAGCCCTGATTTTTGTTCTCAATCAAAAATGCAATAAGTTTTTTTTTTCATAAACCACCCATGACCGCACCATCTAAGGGAATTTAAGTAAAGAAAAGATTGTGGCAGTGAGTTCCCAAGATCCTGCTTAATAAGAGGCAGCTGCTTTGTGATAGATGTATCAAGCAGATATCCAACACAGGCATCAGAATCAATCTTATCCCACAGAGTTCATCAGCAGTGAGACAAGGCTAAATACAAAATAAAATCCATGTGGATATAAAACCAAACATCCTAAAGGAACTGCTGCCCTGAAAGCCCATTTCCTTCAAATCACATGTAAAGTTTGGATTAACATTCCTGGGAATTTATCCCCCATCAATCTTTTTAGAGGACTACTCCTCTAGATTAAGACATTGTATCCATATTAGAGTTTACCTTTTATTTCTCCAAGGAGTTCACTTGTGTTTAATCTCTCCATTTTCTCCTTCCAGTCTTTAGAAAGTAGTTTTTCCATGCAAGATGAATCTATAAAGAAAGGTGAAAGTATTAGCAAAAGTTAATATGAAATTAACAGGCAAACAGTTTGAACAGCCTTTTCCAGAAAATGTGGCTTCAAGGAAATGTCATGCCTCCTAAATTATGACAGTGGCATCCTATTAACTGCTGATGTACTTGAAGACAGTCAAGGAATAAAAATATATCCAGCTTTCTAAATAAAGAATGATGCCAGAACTATATTGTCCTAACCTTCCAGAGGAATTTACAGGAGAAGCATCCAAGTTCTCAGGAGCACTCTAGGAAGACAGGGAGAGTTTTAATTTCCACCACCACCACCCCTCATTTAAAGAGGACACTAGAAAGCCTGTGCTATGCATATTGTGCATGGTTTGTTTATATATCTTTGTGTTGTGGAAAGTTTATGCATTCATTAATTTATTCATTACATTTGCACTCTGACTTTGGTCTAGATCAAGGTGGCCTACATTGTTATTTCTTCCTTCTATTTTACCCCATAACAATCACCACCTTGTCTGTTAGACTGGCGTGGAGAAAGTGACTAGCCCAAAGTCACTTGATGAGCTTCTGTGGCCGAAGGTAAACTTGAACCTGGATCTCCCTACTTCTAATCCAGCACCTTAATTACTACAGCAAAAAGCTATTTTTGCTGGAATTCAAACAAACATGTCACAAAACAACAGTTTAACTGAATACGCAGTCAAAACAAAGTATAGATATGTGTAGCGGGGACATAATAGCAATATTCCAGTATTTGAGAGGCTGCCACAAAGAGAAGGGGGTCAATTTATTTTCCAAAGCACCAGAAGGTCAGACAAGAAACAATGGATGGAAACTAATCAAGGAGAGAAGCAAACTGGAATTAATAGCAACAGCAGTTAGACTTATATACCTGTTCACGGTGCTTTACAGCCCTCTCTAAGTGATTTACAGAGTCAGCATATTGCCCCCAACCAGTACTTTTTTTTGTAAAAAAAAAAAAAAAAAAAAAAA